GGACATAACAGCACCCTGGACGACTCTACACATAGCAACATACAGAACTCTACACATAGCAACATACAGGACTCTACACATAGCAACATACAGGACTCTACACATAGCAACATACAGGACTCTACACATAGCACCCACCCAAGACCCTGCAGACATCCTGCACAGCCCCTAGAGAATCACTATGATGGGCTGATCGGGGGTCCTTTCCCTGCAGCTCCTTACCTGCCAGAGGGGACTTCTTCCATCACTGGGCCATCAATGACCTCCTCCTGCGCCAGACTGGCAGTGCTGGGCCCCACCGATGACTTCCTGCTCTTCCCCTGTCAGAGGGCCCCCCAGCCACCTGCAGAGACTCAGGATTCTCTGCAGTGAATCTGTCACTGCTGCCGTTTCTCCTGGTCTCTCTCCTCCTGTTGCTGGGGCTGCACTGCTTCATTAGTAAGTAAGCTGGGCTGGGGATGCAGTGAGTCCCAGCAGGGCAATGTGCGAGTGCAGTCTCGGCGGGGGAGGGGAAGCGTGGGACACAAACGAGGATGTTTGCGTCCCGCGCTTCCCCTGCTATAGATTAGGCGAGTTAGGCGGCTGCGAGGCCCTCGTGAGCGCGAGGCCTTAGGCGTCCGCCTAACTCGCCTAATTAAAGAGCCGCCTCTGTCCATGGTAGTTTCCCTACTCTTTGCTGCTCTTCCTTTTAAATCCTTATCTCTTCTCATGCTGGGGGAGAACTTCCCTTTGCAGATGAGTGCCTCGTCCTGTAGTGCTGGCTCAGGTTGTGAACCTGCACACAGACACCATGTATCCATTTCAGACACAAGGCAGTCTGCTGCAAAACAGAAGTTCTGCCCAGCATGAGAAGAGATACAGATTTAAAAGGAAGAGCAGCAAAGAGAAGGGAAACAACCATGGATTACAGTAAGGCACACATTACAGTATTGTTTTATGTTAAAAAATCTGAGGGTTTAATGTCACTTTAATTATAAAAACAACCCTTCTCCCACTAACAGGTCTTCTTCGCTGTCCACCAAACAGGTCTACGAACACTGGCTACATCAACATGACCTCATACTTAGAACCCCATCTGATCTGGCACTTTTTAAATTCGGCAACAAATCCGGTAAACTTCTAGCAAACTTAGCCCGAGGTGGCCGTGTGAGCTCCCATATATTGCAGCTGCTGGATGATGCAAGGGTGGTACCATCTAACCCTTCCTCCATCAGCAAAATTTTTAGTAAATTTTATCAGAAACTTTACAGATACGAGCAAGGGTACTTGGCCTAAGGAGCCTTATTCCTAGACTCTCTCGTGCTACCCTCTTTATCTGCTGAGGACCTCGCCATGTTCAATGGTGACATCACTCTGAATGAAAACCTAGAAGTCATTAAGCATTATCCTTGCTCCAAAGACCCTGGTCCTGGTGGCTACACTGCTGAATTTTACAGATTGTTGTCTAGTGATATATCCCCTATGCTGGTAGCCCATAATAGCAATATAGTGACCCACCAGACATATCCCCCCACCTTCAACGATGCTTATATTAGTTTAAAACCAAAGAAAGGTAAAGACCCCTTGCGGGCTGGCTCGTACCGACCCATTTCACTTCTGAACCTAGACGCCAAACTGTTGTCTAAAATTCTAGCTAATAGGTTGGCGGTCGTCCTGCCAAAGTTGATCTCTCTGACCAGGTAGGCTTTGTCGCTGGCTGTTCGGCAGTGTCAAATGTGTGTAAGATTCTTATGGCTCAGGAAGGCCACCATTTAAACCAGCCTTCTACGCATCCTTTGGCTCTTTTGTCCTTGGATGCAGAGAAGGCTTTTGACAATGTGAATTGGCAATGGCTCTCCATGGTAATACATATGGGTTTTACAGGTTTCTTTTTTTAACTTTATTAACACTATGTAAACTTCATCTCAGGCACGTATACTTACCTCCACTGCTATGTCCCATTCATTCACACTACACAAAGGAACAAGACAGGGATGTCATTTGTCCCCACTGCTTTTAAATTTGACTTTAGAACCACTCTCCCGCTCCCTTTCATCGTCCACAATTTTTCATGGTTTCCAACTGGGGCCTCACAATGTAAAACTGTCTCTCTTTGCGCACGATATTATTCTTATACTGTCTGACCCGTCCTCTCAGGTTCCTACTGTTTTAAGGCTCATCAATCATTTTAGTAATGTGCTCGTTCGCAGGGTTAAAAATCGATTGCCACCTGTAAGAACTGGCCCCCTGATGTCACCATACAAGTTCAAAGATGCTTCATAACTTACCTAGGTTTCCGTATCTCCAATCGTGCCACAGACTTATAACATTTAAACTATGTCCCTTTATTTAAGAAAATTATTCAAGAATTACAAAACTGGCGTGACCTCCCTCTCTCCATCTTGGGTAGATGCCATTTGATTCACATGATTAGCTTTGCACGGCTGCTGTACCCTATGCAGACTATACCCTTACTTATTAAACACAAAGATATCCGCATGCTGTACACTGCCTTTGCTAAATTTATTTGGAGGGGAAAACGCCCCTGAATTGCCCTAAGCAAACTCCAGCTGCCCAAGCAACTGCTGGGAGCAAACTTACCTGATGTTAGTTTGTACAATCTGGGTAGCCTGTTTAGACACGCTAGGGATTGGATACATGACACTACTCATTTTACCACCACTCCTCTGGAACAGAATATGGTGGCTACCTGGTCCCTGTCAGGTGTTCTCCACACCCCATGGAAGGCTCTTCCCCCACACGTCAAAAATAACATTCACCTGATGAGGGACATCATAATTAGCTAGAGAGAGTTCCGGAAGCTATATCAGATTCCTTGGGTGGTTTCTCCTCTGATGCCACTCATGTCATCTCCGGCCTTCCCTCCAGGCAGAGATTCCAGCGTTTTCTCTCTCTGGAGGACTAGGGGTATCGGCACTATACAGGACTTACTAACTCCTCAGGATGCCTGAAAACAATTGAAGGATCTGCAAATCATGTTTCAAATCTCCAGCAACTACTTCCTTCAGTATGCAGTAAAGTCCCTCACTTTATCAAAAAAAAAATCTCCCGGCACAGTGGTCACTAACCTCGCACACATCCTTCTACAGATGTTTAGCCCCCCCTTCCTGGAAAATCCCACTGTCCACCATCCTTTATACCATTACATCATCTATTCACTCTGCCCCTCCCTCCCATTTCCCGAACATGTTCATAGATGGGCAACCCCCCTACTGGTTCCAGTGGAAGATGCTGACCAACTGCTTCTTCCAGGGCGGCTTTCGCTTAGGAAGGCTATCATTTGCAAAATGTGGAGCGAGATCCACTTTAAACTGATACATAGAGCCTTTTATGCCTTCAATTGACTGGCCG